AAAAAAAAAAAAAAAAAAAAAAAAACCACCAAAACAGTATGCAGAAGTTCGTAACTGTTAAAAACTTATCTTTAAACTGCCAGGCTAAATGCCTGTGTGGTTGACTTTTTTTGAGAAATTAAAATACAGAAAAGCAAAACACTGCCTGCTCCAACCACACAGCACTACCACCATCTGTCATGTTAGTCTCAGTTCTCTCACTCTTCTCTCAACTCCTGTTAAAGGGGAGAAATAAAAATCAAACTGTGTATTGGGGGGCGGTGGGGGTGCTGAGAGAAAGGTGGGCGGCAAGAAGGACAAAAAAACCAAAACTTCAGTCAGGCTGAAGTCTCATGCACCCCCAGCCCATCTGCCCCCCAGAGATGAAACCAGTCCCTCACAGCTGAAACCATCCCAAAGGGGACCTGCGTTCTTGCTGCCCACAACTTAGCTATTCACCAAATCTAACTACTCTCTGTGCTCCAGGCTGGCCAGCTGAATCCGGTAGCAGGGACCCTGTGCCACAATGCCAAGGCTAACTCCTCTTCCAGAGCAGTTCTGCTTCCAGGTGGAGAAAACCTTACAGCCCAGGTCTAGCTCTCTGTCCACTATCCAGCAGCTGTCAGCCTCCTCTGCCTTCTCGTTTCTGGGGCCATTTTACCCCGTGATGTCCTGCAAGCCCAAGTCCCTGGTCAATGAAATTCAACTCTTGTTCTACCAAGCCTCACTTCCCAAATGAGATATAAGTTCCTTTCCCAGGCATTCAGACAGATTTGAGTCTCGGAACTCCTACCTTATGCTGACCCATTGTGCATTAAAGTTTAAGTTAATGAGGTGACTTCTGGAAATTCCTAATGGTGGGGAAGGGCTGGTTGTTGATAAGGGAACTAAACCTGAATGCAAGGTTGGAGCTCTCAGTGCCTCCCGATTTCTGGAGAGGAGAAAGGGGCTGGAGGTAGAATCAAGTTGCCAAGGACTTACTCAATCATACTTATGTAATGAAACCTCTGTTGAAATCCAACATCCAAAAGGAGGAATCTGAAGCCCTGCCAGGTTGGGGAACCAGAGAGCATCCATCCCTGCTGGGCCCCCAACTCCACGGGACAGAGAGACGCATCTCTTCACCTGCTGTTGACTCATTGCCTGTTAGTCTCCTTTTAATAAACTGACAATCTAGGGGGTAAAATGGTTTCCTAAGTTCTGTGAGCCACTCTAGCAAATTACTCAAGTCTAAGGAGGAGATTATAGAGGCCTCTGACTTATGGCCAGTTGGTCAAAAGCAAACTGCAACCTGCACTTGCAATTGGAAAGCCCATCTTATGGGCTGAATCCTTCACCTGTGACTCTAATTCTATCTCCAAGTGGACAGGGTCAGAACTGAGTTGAATTGTAGGACACAAAACTGGCGTCGGAGAATTATTTAGTGACGTGAGGAAAGCTGATAATAGTACAATTGGTGAAAGTTATGAATGGCCTCAAAGATGCTTCTCTAATTCCACAGATCTATAAATTAAAATAGCCATAAATATTTGCAAAAGGGAATAGTATCTATCTAATGTTCATTTTTAATATGCCAGATAATGTGTCAACAAGATTAGAAAGTTAACATTTAATCATCATAATAACCCAGTAAGACAGGTATTTTTTGTTCCATTTTAGAGGTGGGGAAGCAGGCCGCAAGATGCTAAGTGGCTAAGCCAAGGTCACAGTCAGTTAGCAGCCCTGAGTCCCCAGCTGGACCTCGTAGGCGCAATTCCACACGGCTATCCACACTTCCCAAGGTGTCACACAGGTCTCCCTCAAGGAGTCACCTGCCTGGCTGTACCAATGGTGGTGATCACGTAAGGACTTGGAAAGCAAGGAGGCCACAAATTACAAGAAGCCTTGTAATTTTCCAACCACTACTTTACAATATCGCTCACTCTGGACATATCTCATACCACACTATCGCTGTGACAACACTCTAACTCCACCATGGGGCGGAAAAGTTGTCAGAAAGCTGGGACTCACTAGATTTTGCCTTTTCAGCCTTTAAACCGCTCTCCACTCCCAGGGGAAGGCTCAGTAGGAAAGGTTGAGGTAAACCTTTCTAGCTACAAATTTTCCTTTCCAGGTACATATACAGTTTAATTTTTATTTGTCATAGGAATAAAACACCTAAAAATAAAGGAGAAAAATAAATTTTTAAAAAAAAATCAAACTAGTCCACAAATCACTGCACCCAGGGCAACTTAAATTTTATCTTGTTTTCCTCAAAAAAGGCTTAGGAAACTGCCAAACCTGTCTGGCTTGGCACAGTGCCTCGCACCTTACCACATTTTTATTTATCTGCAGGATTCAGGAGCAAAGGAATTAATCCACGTGTGAATCCTTAAACAGGGGCGTCCCTGAAGTGAAAGCTCCATTTAAAAAATCAATAGCGATGTCAACAGCTGCTGGAGCAGCCTGGAGCAGAGCCCTGTCCTTCCCACAAGGGAGACCGAAGCACCTTCCACAGAGGGCTCCTGACACCAACAAGGCTCCTGGACACGTGCAGGCTGTTCCCCTTGTGATCACAGCAGCCCTGGCACTGGAGCATGGTGTGGGGGAGTCACCTTCCAACTTTTGCATGTATGTATGTCCCTGCTGTCACACACCAACTTTGCAGCTGATTAAGCTTTTCAACTGCCCTATATCTTTTTTTATATATAATAATTTATTTTTACCTCATTTTGTACATTTTTTTCCCCATCTCAATTGTAATCCCCGCGGGTTTCCCATCACCAAGTCACCCATGTGCCATCACCATAATCCCGTGCACTTCCCTCTCCACCCCCCCGTTTTTGATCCCATTCCCCACTCCACCCCCACAAAATGTCTCTGGTATATGACTGTTCATTATTCTTATTATTTTTTCGCCTGGTCCATTATACTCCTGCTATGAGCAAAACCATCCGGTATTTTTCTTTCTCTTTCTGGCTTATCTCACTAAGCATGATCTTTTCCAGCTCCATCCAAGTTGCTCCAAAACACATGTGTTTCTCTTTTTTGGTTGCTGAGTAATATTCCATTGTATACATGTACCACATCTTTTTTATCCAGTCATCTACTTTTGGGCATTTGGGCTGCTTCCATGTTTTTCCAATTGTAAATAAAGCAGCAATAAACATGGGGGTGCAGGTATCTTTTTGAATCAGTGTTTTTGTGTCTTTTGGGTAGATACCTAGGAGTGGGATTGCTGGGTCGTAGGGAAGCTCCATGTTAAGCATCAACTGCCCTATATCTTTATCTAAAAGCAGAAACAACCTCCATGTGCAGTTACAGGAGAATGGAAAAGATAGGCGTCACTTAAGGAGAACAGCCAGACTGCTCCTCAGCAGTCACCTTCCCTTGCTTCTGAAGGCATGTGTTAGCTCTCCTAGAGAGAGGGACTAAGGCCCCAAGGTTCAGTGCCCTGTGTGACAGAGCATAAGGACAGAGCAAAACCACTGTTACTCTCCAGTTACTCTCCTCACGCCCAGGAATGCAGCCCTCTGCCCCTTCATAAAATCTGATGGCTGGCCTTAAGATTTGACACTCCAGTATTCTCTAAGGTGATGTGAACTCATCAATACTCAGCTTAGAATTGAGCCCAGAGTACCCCTCCCACCTAAAAAGCCACCTGCCAGGAAAGGGGCCATATGTGGTTCAGCTTCGCAGGCTGAGGTCCAAGACACAGCATGCAAACCTAGATGTTGACTCTCACTTCACTTTCCAAGCCTGCTGTGTAGCCCTGATTCCTCAGAAGGCTGTTAGATTCTGTTCGCCCTGTGAAATGCTGGGGTACAGATTTCTTGTGTCAAGGGTCTGTAAATGGAAAAGCCACAGTGCTAAAAATCAAAAGGGGCCAGGACTGGCTCCTGCCTTGCGTGGCTGAGTTGAAGAGCCATACAGAACTGACTGCTCAGTTCCATAGCTGAGCTGAGTTCGGCCCTGCACTCCCTTTTCAGTGCTACTCCAGCAATTGCTTACAGCTAAAGTCAGACTCACAGAAACAAAAATCATCAGCTAACACACTCCATTACAACTGCCAAGAAATTTCAATGCAATGGCTTTGACAAGGCCCCATGAGGAATGCCTCTGGGCAGGGCTCTTCAGCTGCCGGGGCCCAGTCTGAACCTAGGAGAGCCAACTTACATCCAGGTCTAGGTCACAGCAGGCTGTGGAAAGCTGGTTGTGCTAAGGAGGTCATGTAACTGGACCTGGGTAGGTGCCCAACCAAAGGCCCACAACCTAGTAAATCCAGCTCTTTTTGTTCTGGAGCTGATTCTTCCCTTGGAACTGGATCTCTGATCTAGGAAATACTCAGTGAAGGGAGCTAAGAGCAGCTGGCCGGTGGTGATGTGCAGGGAGGCTGAAGAGGTCATATAAAAGGAAGTAGGTAGCTGATTTTACCAGAGTGAAGGGAAGCTGGAGCGCAAGATGCTGCCTAACTAAAGACTTTCTAGCTCTTGCCTCAATCCCATTCCTTAAGACCATGTGTCAATCACTAGTCTTCCAAATCAAAACAATTTAAAATTAACAGCTACTGGCTGAATTCCTAACAGGGTCGCTATGAAAGTTAGGGATACAGTGTGATTTAGGAAAAAGCCACATTTCTGATGGGAAAAAAAAAATAACTTGAAAGGGAGCCAACATCTCTTCAGGTTGAGCACACGACAGTTGCCCATCGCCTCTTACCATTATTCACGACCCCATTCTGCTCCCAGATGGAGGTTCCCATTTTACACACCAGGGTAGGGCAAGAGAACTCAGCTACCCAAGTGAAAACCCCTCTTATTCTTAATAGTGGAGTTGGGAAGGAGCCCTGCTCAGTCTGACCCCATATAGCAGAAGACCATGAGTTAGGCAGGGGGAGCAGAGATGCCTGCAGCTAACCTAGGGTCAGACCAGACAGATACTCTGATTCCAAAGTACAGCATGGGACTCTGTACTTTCTGGGTAAGCAAAATGCTCGTCAAGGCTTCAAAGTAACTGGGCTAAGATGGAGGTTAGTGATGTCGGCCTTGAAAGGTGAGAAAACCAATCAAATGAGACCCATTCTCCCTCTCCTGCCCTAGTCTGCATACCAGGTTGACTTCCACCAAACTGCATCAACTGGCCTCCCTTTGGTTTCTGGTTCGGTTTGGCCAATGGAAGGCACTAGATCAGTGTGCCCCACCCACCCCACCCCCCAATACACACAGGAGCCCCGTTTCTGACTGTGCCTCCACCTACTCTGCTTCTTCGTTCATAATTCATTCGTCACAGGCAACACTACCTCCTTCTTTGTGCCTTTGGCCTAGGAGTGGAGCTGCTAGTGGTGCTAGCCTTTGAGCTTTTCAAGGCCTCTGTCTTTGTTGCTTTGACAGAAACCTGCCCCTACTGCTATAAAGACTCCCATTGTAAGCCTCCTGGTGTTGCTAAATTATATTCCATTTTCTGCCAGGGCCAAATATGATCTCTCTCTCTGATTCATGCTTCACCTTCCAGGGTCCACGTGACCCTAACAATTCTGTTCATCCTCACCCCCAACTCAAGCTAAACAGTAAGCATTCCTATGAAGAGATTTATTTAAAGTTAGTTACTCTGCTTTGTTCTATGATACTCAAAAGTGAGAATTTATCAACAACTGTGGCCATATGTCCATGGTACTGGTGAGAGAGACATTAAAAAATGAAATCAGGGCTCTCCCCGGTGGGGCAATGGGTTAAATAAAGCACAGCACTATGAAGTTATCTACAGCCACCGTAGCTCCAGTTAGATTCCGAGCCAGGGAGCTGACCCACATGGTATAGTAGACTTCTCCTGATCTGCCCACTGCTCCCCTCAGCAGTGTATTTCAGTCAATCTGCCTGTTCTGCTCCTGACTCTGTCTCTGGAGAATCCTCTTACCCCCCGCACTTCTGGCCTGTGCCGCAGTTCTTATATGCACAAATAAATATATATTTTTTAAAAAATGAAATCACTGTTCAAATCACCTCACTTTTACGGCCTGACTTATTCAATGTTACTCAGTAATGAGAGATTGTATTTGGCCCTGGCAGAAAATGGAAACAGATGTTAAGACACTGGCTAGATCTTAAGAGTAGCATACAGACAAATCAACAGATTATTACCTAAGATCCACAATGAAGAAATTACTGGACCTCTAAGATCCCAGGATCAGGTTCCTGGCCACCCCTGCAACCTGATCTTCCACTATTACCCCCAGTCCACTCCTTGAGATCCATGTTTCCTCCACATAAGGACTGTAGACTAACTATCCCTTTCTTCTGGAAGCCTCAACTATACTTAATTCTGGGTCACTCTGAGGATTCAGCACAAATGTGTTTTCCTTAGGGAAGCCTCCTCTGACCTCCTAGCCTAGATCAGGTTCCTGTTTTCTTTCCTTACAGCACTCTGTACAATTTTATAAACACAAAATAGATCTGGACTTTGTCTCTTCCTTCTAGCAAGGGAACACTATTGGAACACGCTTCTTCTTCTATTCTGAGTCTAGCTCAGTTCTAGATTGAATGAATGAATGATGAGTCCTGAAGACACAAAGGAAAGACACATGATGTGGATTTAGGGGAGCAAGTCCACTCCCTTAAGGAGGCCTTCAGAACATTACAGTCTCAGGATTTTTAGCTCCTTTGAACTCCACTAACTATCCATTGCCTTTATTGTACTCATCTCTGAAAATGGAATCAAAGGCTGATGGAAAAGGAAGCCCAGAGGCTGCAATTGACCATAATGGACCAAAGGTGAAAGGTAAAATACAAAATAGTGAGGTCTATACAGGCAAAAACAGAATTCCTGCTAAGCCTTGGAGTTAAGTTTGGGAGAGGCCTCTAACCTGGAAGGCTCCAAGAGATAACCCGGCTTTACTTGGGACCTCACTACCAAGCCCAACATTCTCCAACTGTCCTTCTGAAGTTGTCAAAACCAGGAATTGAAAACTGAACAAGCATCTTAGTATAGTAATAGCTACCTCTGAGGATCCTAGTTGTCTACAGGCAAAATGAAAAATGGCAATAATTAAGCTACGGGCTGTGGAGCAGCTTTTCAAACACCCTTCTCTCTTGACTTACAAGGTGATTTATTACTTTTAACGCGTTTTCATCTCGGGTGCCTTCTCTCTCAATGAAGAAAAGCAGGCCAGAAGCCCACACAGCGACAAGCGAAGGCAAAAAAGGGGCCCCGGGGGGGGGGGGCGATGCTTTCTCGAAAAAGAAAGGCCCGAAACCACCCGCAGCTTCCAACCCGGGTTTAGAACTGCAGACCCGAAAGGCTGAGTGTACACATACAGTCCTAAACGGAGTTCGCCAGGTCCTACCAACGCCCGCGTTGGCCGGCTCTGCTCTGCGAATGCTGGCCGCAGTTGTTTCATCACAGGGTGAACCCAGTTTCGCGCAGCCTAGCCGCCTCCTTCCGGGCAGACGGCCGGCCGCGACCTGGGGGCCAGGGAAATTCCCTAAGGCCCAAGCTGTCTCCACTGCAGTAGCTACCTGGACGCCATGGACGATGTACACCTTCTCCGCCTCGCTGAGCGCCACCGACGCCATGCTGCCAAGGTGCCTCGCGCGTCGCGCGTCATCCGCCTGCGCCGCCTCTCACCTCCCGGCTCCTCCTGCGATGCGTCATCAGCCTGCGCGGCGGCCGCTCCTGCAGCCGCGGCCGCTGCCAGTGCCGGGAGCTCCATGGGCTTCTCCTGCGCGCCGCCGCGTGTCTGGCCGAGCCCAGGGAGCCGCGGCGTCGCGTGCTGGGGAGCCATCGCTGCAGCCCGAGGCCGGGTCCCGGGTCGGGGGCTGCTAGGGGAGGCCACGGCGGCGGCGAAGGGAGCCCCACCGGAGGCCTGGGACTGGGAAACTGCCTCCGGCTTCACGGTCAGTTGGGAGAGGGAACTAGGGCTGGGTGGAAATGCTGGGGTGAGGTGAGAGACGACGGCCGGAGTCGGGCCGGTGGACTCACCGTGGGAGAGGCGCGCGGCGCAGATTGCTCAACTGGAGTTGAAGTGGCAGGTCGTGTGTGATCAAGAGGAGAGAAAAGGGACAGGCTGAGGACTCTGAGCAAAGGGAAGCGGATATCGTGATTCTCGTTGGGAAGGCGGGGGTACTTGTCTCCCCTCTCCACCATCCCCACTCCGTTTGCCCAGTTTCTAAAATGATTTGAGAAGAGGCAGTGAAGCACGCTTTAGGTCCTTCTCGGTGGTGCGGGTCCGGCTGGTCGCTAGAACATTGTCCCAAAGAGAGTGGGGAGAATCTTGGTAACCGGTGCTGGCGAGGGGCGCGGTGCGCAGGTATCCCCTATGCTTCCTGTCACTACTGGCTTTTTGGTGGTTATCGCTGGGATCTGTGGACAGCTGCGGGGCAGGGAGCCAGCCCCTGCCTGGCTGAGTAGGAGAATGGGCCTTGGATATCCCAAGAGGATACCTGCAAGGTGAATGTGGGGTCACTGGAGGAGCCCATTGAGGCCGTGCGCACAGAATATGGTACAGATTTTAAAGGGTCCGTATGAACAAAGGGGGGAAAGTTAACTCAGAGTAATTTATCAGGGAGATCAGATGGCTTTTCAGAAAGTCCCATTTTTTAAAAACCTTTCCATTTTTTAAAGTGAAAGTAGCCCTTAACAACTTGTTCAAGGAATGTCTGAGCCAGATAGTGACTTCAATAGGCTTTCACAGGTAACTATTGGGAACCTTCCTTGGATGGGATCTGTGCCAACTTTCGAACACTAAGATAAGTAAAACAACTTCTTGGCAGTGGGGAATGCTCCAAGGCCAACATAACCAAAAAATAATGGTGCTATGATGGTGGCACCGATAGACACAGTGGGATGGGAGATGAGTCAAAGAAGTACCTGCCCACATTCTTAAGCACTAAACTGACGAACCCCAAGATCACTTCTTAGGAAACTGGACATTTGTTGTTTCTTATCTCTCTACATAGTTTTCTATATGTATAGTTACAGGGAAAAGGTCTTGTAGGGCTGGACTTTGCCCTCCAGGAAAACTGGAAGAGGTGAAGCTGGCAGGGTTTTCTCCCCACCTGTTGTGGCATATAGATGCCTTTATGTGTGGCTGGACACCTGGATTCTACATGAGGAATTTTGTGTGTTGAGCTAACAAGGGGCCACTGGTGTTAAAAGTGGTGGTTTGTTCTACAGATGGCTCAACTAGGAAAAACCCTGGATGTGAAATTCTAGTAGCTAGGCTATCCAAGGGGATGGAGGATTTAAGAAGCAGCATCTATTTGGACAGATCAGAAAAGACACAAGAAGGAAAGTTTGGATACCGCGGAATCATCTTTATAGGAAAATTGTTTTATGTCTGTTAAAATATAACATATATTTGAGCTGTTCCCCCGACAGTTGACTAAAGAGCCCTTGCTAGAGAAGAGTTGGTGATATTTGCTAAATAATAGTATGAACAATGCCTGACATGTTAGGCCAAGAGTGAGAACTGTAGACAGAATCTTCACATTAAATTCTCTGCTAAAACAATGACAACTTCATCAATTGTTCTACTTCAGTGTTGCCAGAACATTTTTGTCAAGTTGGTTGTTAAGAAGCATTAAACATTGTTAAAACCCCTAAGTTTTAAGTTATATTTTGGTCTACTGAAGCAAGAGTGTAAGTGGCAGTCAGGATTTGAGAGCAGTCTAATTCCTCACCATCAGGTCATGCTATCTCTCTTCAGGTTCTATTTCATTCATCAGTATTTGGTGAAGGAGGCCTGTCTTTGTTATGGAATCAAGAACTGCTCTATAAGCTCTTGTTAGTTTAAATTCCAAAAGCAAGGAAGTCTGTTCAAGCATAAATTCACATCCCTTGAATCTTTTTTCTAGAAGAACAAGGAACCACCTGGTGATGGGAAGTTCCATTTTTGTTTCAGCCCTCCCTTTCAGATAAGGGAAAATGTTACCTTTAGGCCAAATAGACCTTAACTCAGAGTAGCTGAGAAAAGGGGTCAGCAGCAGAGGAGGCCAGTGGATCTGTATAGAGAGGGTTGAGTTAAGCATGGAGACCCTGATTATAACCTTGTGTCTTACTCCCAGGATAAACATCTAGAAGCTCTTCAATCAGAAAGCATTTGCTCTGAGTTCCTAGTGTTCTCCTGGATCTGAAGAGGCAAGACGCTGGAAACACGTGCCTGCCTAAACGTAGTTTAGAATTTATTATAGTTAGCTTAAGCATTTGAATGAGTACATGAACAACACAATAAAATAAAGTGCTCAATTGAGACCTTGGTAATTAGAGAGGCCAACCTATAATAAGGTGCTAATTGTGTATACCAGGCATCCAGGGCAAGAGGTAAAGAGCCACTGCCAGCCACTAGCGGGCAACAATAACAGTGTAGAGCAGGAGAAAATGTCCACCTAACCTTGGTTAATTAAAGCAATAAAAGGTGGTTACTGCAGAGCTGCGGGGCAGTGTTGAGTCCTTGGTGCTGAGGTTGCAGAGAGCTTGTTAAAGCCCAGCAGGGGACATTTTCTCCCTGGTCTTCACAGAGGTAGCCAAGTTTTAGTCCTTTTTCTCTGCATGTTCACAAGTATTCTAGTGCCCCAAGAAAAGCACTAGTATGCTGTTTTCTCAGTAGATCTGTTTCCTTTAAACACTGTATTTGTCCTACCTGTACCTTTTCTTCAAGAATAACATATGCAAACAAGCTACCTTAGTCTGGCCAGCAGGTCTGTTTCTGTCTTGTGATTCTAGAAATTCTATCCTGGGATTACAGTGATTAAAAAAAGTTCATAATAATGTGTGGGTAAAGCCTATTCCCTGTCAGATGAGAAATCTTCCCAGTATTTCCTTTTGAGAGAGGGACAGGATACTTCCTATGTCTCTCTTTAGGGCATATGTAACTAAATGGGGTCATATATCCTGACGAGCAATCTGTAACTATTTAAACACATACTCTCACTTTCTCTCTCTCTCTCAAAAGGAAATACTTGGAAAGACTTCTCTGAGAAGGAATAAGCTTTACCCACATTTTTTATCCTGCTGGCATTAGAAAGTGACAGAATCTGAAGCAGAAATTGTGAATAATATCTGGATACTAACTTTTTGAGGGGGGAAAAAGGGAGGCTAATGTCTTTTCAGCCTCTAGTTTCTTCCTGTTTTTGCATTTTTTTTCTTAAGATTTATTTATTTATGCATACAGAGCTAGGGTACAGGCCAGAGGTGCAGGGGCAGCGAGAGGCTTCACCAGAGACAGAGTGGGGAGCAGGACAGGCCAACTGATGAAGTACACTGCTGAGGGGAGCAGTGGGCAGGTCAGGAGAGGTTTGCCTGCCATGTGGGTCACCTCGGGGCAGGGATTGAACTCATGCTGAAGTGGCTTTAGCTTCTTAGTGCTGTGCCATGCTGCGCCACCAGGGAGGGGCTTCTTTTTGATTTTTTTTAATCATTTGTTTTTCGCTTTGGAAACAGGTTCCCAGAGAGAAATGGGCAGTTCGTTTCAGGCTCTCAGCTATGAAAGTGAGAATGTTACAGTAGCATTTTTTTACCTCACTGATGCAGAAATATCAGGAAAACACCATCTTTTGACAGTCTCTTTCAGGCTCTAACCTTCCTGTTGGAGAAATTTGCAGTCGGTCTTTGAATTTTCTGTGCAACTGGAACTAGAAAATTTCTTCTTGTGCATCAGCAGGGATGGGCTTTTTGAGTGGGAGCCATTTCCCACCTGAGGAAAATCAACCTAGAGGAACAAGTACAGTTCTGGGCCAAAGTTCTGATGCAAAAGTTTTGACTTTGCTATGTTTAGTGTCTTTCTAAACCAAAAAAATAGTAGCAGAGAATCTAGAAAGGCCTGTTGGTTCAGAAGATTATGATCTGTGATGGAAAGATTTTTGGGTGTTTTTTCTAGAGAACTGGACTTTGCCCCTGACTTGCTTTGAGCAAATCAGTTAACTTATCTGTGTTTCATTTTACCCTAACATGCTTCTCTTGCCAAGTTGTAAAATTCAGAATAGATTCTGGGTATACAGATATTTGAACACTGAAAAAATGGTCATATTTAATTTTAGATTTTCAGACTTTTCTCTTTTACTACTTTGTAATAGTTGATGTTTTTGATGGTGCTTTTTCTACCCTACCCCAAAAATTAAATGCACGAATAAAACGAAACGGTAATAGCATGCTATATTAGATTGAAAAAACTGAACATGCTCCAGAAAATTGCCAACAGACAGGTATTGATGGGACTATCTTTTTGAATGTTATCAAAGAAAGTTAAGGGTACAGTTTTGGTAAAAATATAGAATCCATGAAATTAACAAAGAAAATATTGAATTTGTTCCTAAGAACAAAGGAACCATACAGCCCTGCAAGAGACCTTACTGATCATCTCAATCATCCCTCTTGTTTTATAGATGAGGAAACTGAGGTCCAGAGAGAGTAACTATCTTGTCCCAAATCACGAGGTTTGTGAACAGCTGCCAGCTTTACAGCCCTCCTCTTGACTCAAAGCCCGTCTTCATTCTAATTCACACTAGCCCCCATCTATCTCCAAAGTTCTCTAACAAACACCAGAGAGCCCCTTGCTGGCAGGCAAGGACTTGGACTGAGAGGACACGCCAATTTCATCACCTCAGTCCCAGGCTTCTCTCAAGGCCCTCCTCTTGCATTGCCACAGGAGTGCCTTGAACAAATGGGATCAGCAGATACCAGAAAGCTAAGTGGCTCCCCTTCTTCAAGCTTGGTACAGTTGCAGTAACTGCTTCGCTCTTCTCTCTCCAAACATTTTTGTTTTTCATCCCTAAAATAGTCCAGCTCTTACCTAAGTGATGTCACAGTGGCTGTATGTCTGCACATGGCACAATGTGTGTCAGGTACAATTTTTAAGACCCTCAGGAGGGGACCCTCAGGTGCAGGCTGGTCTCTACCT